TGAGCCGACCAATTCAACAATGACTCTTTGATTCTTGATAGTCATTCCAATATGTATTTGACTTTAATTTTATAATGTTGTTCATTTACGTCTGCGTACTTGTAGCCTTTTGGAATTTGGGCGAATTATTTTATATGGTATGTACATTTTGGTATATCTGGAAATATAGTAGTTGACCGACTTTTGATAATTTTTTGTATTATGCATGTATTGAAATTAGATATTTTCTTTCCATGATCAAATGCAGTGATTGACCTATTTAAAATGAGGCAATGCATTGACGTATTAACACAATGCATTTGGCATATAATACCGTTTATTGCTCTTAATTTTAATGATTCCTTTTAAGTCAACTCATCAATTCAAGTAAAATTATTTTACAATATAACTTTTTAAACTTATACACAGGGTGATACAAATATATGTGTACAAATCATTCAAACTTATAATTTCAGAGTTGCATGCCTAAGTTATGCATAACATCCCAATAAATTCATACCGAATAGAGTAGTTGCATCCACACTACAAAAATAATTCAAGTACTATCTAAACACGACTTAACAAACAATTCAAGTATTATCTAAACGTTGTTCCAAATTTTCTGGGACTTATATCCTTTTGCAAATATATTTATACAAATCATCACAATCTTTACTTAAATAGTTTCATCCATAAGTTATGAATAACATCCCAATATATGTGTATGGAACATAGCAGTTAAATACATTACTTCAAAAATAATTCAAATACATTTGTAAAAATCATTCCAACCTTTATTTAAATAGTTTCATCCATAAGTTATAAATAACATCCTAATATATTTGTACCAAACATAGCAGTTGCATACACTACGTCAAAAATAATTCAAATGCATTTGTAAAAATCATCACAACCTATAGTTAAATAATTTCATTCATAAGTTATAAATAATATCCCAATATATTTGTACCAAACATAGCAGTTGCATACACTACTTTAAAAATAATTCAAATACATTTGTACAAATCAGCCCAACCTTTACTTAAATAGTTTCATTCATAAGTTATAAATAGCATCCCAATATATTCATATGGAATATAGCAGTTACATACATTATTTCAAAAATAATTCAAATACATTTTTACAAATCATTCCCACATCTATTTACATAGTTTCATTCATAAGTTATAAATAACATTCCAATATATTTGTACCAAACATAGCAATTGCATATACTTTTTCAAAAATAATTCAAATAAATTTGTACAAATCATCACAACCTTTACTTAAATAATTTCATTTATAAGTTATAAATAGCATCCCAATATATTTGTACCAAACATAGCAGTTGTACACACTACTTCAAAAATAATTCAAATACATTTGTACAAATCATCCCAACCTTTATTTAAATAGTTTTATTCATAAGTTATAAATAACATCCCAATATATTTGTATGGAACATAACAGTTACATACACTACTTCAAAAATAATTCAAATACATTTGTAAAAAACATTACAACCTTTACTTAAATAGTTTCATTCATAAGTTATAAATAACATCCCAATATATTTGTACCAAACATATTAGTTGCATACACTATTTCAAAAATAATTCAAATAAATTTGTACAAATAATTACAACCTTTACTTAAATAGTTTCATTCATAAGTTGTAAATAACATCCCAATATATTTATACCAAACATAGTAGTTGTATACACTACTTCAAAAATATATCAAATACATTTGTACAAATCATCTCAACCTTTATTTAAATAATTTCATTCATAAGTTATAAATAACATCCTAATATATTCGTACGGAACATAGTAGTTACATATATTACTTCAAAAATAATTCGAATACATTTGTACAAATCATCCCAACATTTATTTAAATAGTTTCATTCATAAGTTATAAATATCTTCCCAATATATTTGTACCAAATATAACAATTGCATACACTACTTCAAAAATAATTCAAATAAATTTGTACAAATCATCACAACGTTTATTTAAATAGTTTCATTCATAAGTTATAAATAACATCCCAATATATTTGTACCGAATATAGCACTTGCATACACTATTTCAAAAATAATTCAAATACATTTGTGCAAATCAGCCCAACCTTTGCTTAAATAGTTTCATTCATAAGTTATAAATAATATCCCAATATATTCGTACCGAACATAGCAATTGCATACACTACTTCAAAAATAATTCAAATACATTTGTACAAATCATCTCAACCTTTTGTATTGGAAAATCTCGGTCTTTACTTTGGATGCGTGCATACTTTAAATACATATATATATATATATATATATATATATATATATATATATATATATATATATATATATATATATACCCTTTTCCCAATGAGCGGGGGGTTGAGAGGGGAAGCATCAATTTTAGCTTCAACCATCATTATTAACAAATTTACCATCTTCTTATTTCTCCACTATTGTAAATTGTGATTCCTCAATGTGCAGAAAAAGGCAATGAAACTTCTTTTTTGGCAAACTATGATTAAAGAGAACAAAACATATGCTATATCCAACCCATAATTCTAATAACAAATTTCCAACGACTAAAAAACAAAGAATTTATTTGTAACAATAATCATTATTTAAGAGTGGTTAAATGGTTTACATGTTTGAACCCACTCATCATGGTGGGATTTTGAAAGGGGAATTAAGAATTGGTTTTATCTATAATACAGGAACTGTCGAATAAATTCACAATCTCATTAGTTATACAACCATATTTATACCTTGCAAATTTAAAATACAAGGAAAAAGTGACACATTCTTTCCGTTGCCAAATGTTGTTCATATATTAGCTAGTGTTCCCGGACTCTGGTGAAATGCTAGAAGAAGAACAGCCATTCTCTATCGCCATTGCCTCATCGGGTGAGCTAAGAGCTTTTCGAGAACTCTTATATCTGGAAAACAAGTAAAGAATTGACAAGTTCCTCTTTTGAGGCTCTTTTAAGGTGCTCATATATTGGCTATCAATATCACTCCTTGAAACGCAAGTGGAAGAACAATCAGAGTCTATATTAAGTGTCTCCTCATAAGGTGGAATGCTTGCCGAAGTACTGCTTATATGTGCATTCATCGAGTTCTTAAGGAGTGAGCTTAGACCACTCTACGAATTTTGAAGATTTGATTTGGTTCTCCTTTTTAAATTGTTACTATATCTTTACACATCCTGTAGTTTGTCCACAAATATAAATAACACCAAGTGCGTGCAATATGTGCTCAAATAAAAAGATATTATTAGAATTATATGATGATATATTAATAATAGTTATCATTAATTATGGAAATAGAGGGGGATTATGTATACTGAGGCAAAGTTTCAAACATGTGGTGAACTGAAATATCAGCCTGACAAACGAGTACTTAGAAAACAACAACAAATAAGGAATTCCATTTCTCACCAGGAAGAAAGATGATCAAATGATCACTTCATAACTTACTCTTCAGAATTCTCGAATGGCAGTAATTGCTGCCGCATTTTGAATTCTCAATTTCAACCACTGCCTAAATTCATGCTTGAAGCATTCCCCGCTCAAAATTCTTGCAAAAATCTAAGCTTCTTTCGTTAATAAACTTTCAACTGCTTTCCAAAAAAAAAAAAAATTTCACCCACTCTATACTAAATAATTGTCTAAGAAAAACCATGACAAAGTCTTCATCTTTCTTAATATATGTTGTCTTCTTCAAGTAATTGGCATAAAGTTTATGTTTGGCAACTAAGAAAGTTGGTGAAATGAAAATATATATATATATATATATTAAAGTCGTATTCTTGGGTTCCACCAAGAAAATTAAAAGTGCATTTCCTCTCAACCAAGAAGGTTGTATTAGGTAAAGTAGAGTGGAGAATTAACTTTTTCTTCAGTTCCAAATAACAAGATTTTCAATTTCATCCACAACCGCAAACCCACATAAATTTAGGAACCAAGTGAATAAATTAAACACATAGTAGCAGCTGAATTAAAGAATAATCAAAGTGTTTTAGCTAGCAATTATATGACTAAATCTAGATAATTACAAAATAAATAAATAAAATAAAAAGACTCATAATTCATATTACATTGATATTGATTTTTGCCACTAAAATGGGTTCTGTTTGAAAATTAAACAGAGAAAAAAAACACATTTCACACAATCTGATTTGAATGATGGAGATCTAAAAATAAATAAATAAATAAATTATTATATGAAGAGATTAATTGGGTATCAGAATAAGAATTAGATGTGGAAATAGAGGAAGAACAATAATACCGTATATGAAGAGAGAATCGTCTTTAATGATCTTGGAAGGTGGCCTCCAAGCATTCTAGAGAGCTAGACGACAGTCTAACCTTAATTATGGAGATGTAAAAACAAAAAATTAAATAGGGAAAAAAAATCCATTTCACACAATTTGATTTGAATTATGGAGACTCGAAAAAAAAAAAAATAATAAATAATAAAATAAAATAAAATTATTATTATTATATGAAGAGATTAATTGGGTCTCAAAATAGGAATTAGATATGGAAATAGAGGAAGAGCAATAATACCGTAGATGGAGAGAGAATCCTCTTTAATGATCTTGGAAGCTGGCTTCTCCAACTCTAAACATTCGAGAGAACTAGATGACGATCTAACCCTCCCCAACATTTCCTCTCTCTCTCTCTCTAAAACTCTCACTCTCTTTAAGTTTAAATGACAAGGGCAGATTTGACTTTTCTCAAGATAACATAAGGCTCCTTTGATAAATTTATTTGTTTAGATACTTGTTAAAGTATTTGGTTAATATAATTCAAATGAATATATACATGTGGAACCCATTGTGGTAGACATTTGTTACCATAATTTTTTTAATTTACGTGGCCCAATCTGGACCACACATCTCAACCAGCCTGAAAGGAACAGGAGAGGATTTTTGTCCCACATACACACCCCTTCATCTCAACTTTATATATATATATAGAGAGATGGATTATAGACACATACACATACATATACATATATTCACAAGATACCAGGAAGAAAATTCCTAGACACCCTTTTGAGTTGTGTGACACACTCCCTCCAACTCTCTCTCTCTCTCTCTGTCTCTGATCTCTCTCTACTCATATACACCAAAAGCAATGGAGGAAGAGAGTCATGTTTATCCATTGGCACCAGCACGACTCCATCAGAGGAGTACTGACGAAGAGTTCGCCGCCACAAAACCTGATCTTGATCTCCACAAGCAGAAAAGAAGCAGTAAGTGTTTCGTGTACGTCCTGGTGGCCATTGTGCTGCACAGCATAGCACTATTGGTTTTCGGAATAGCCGTATTGCGAATCAATTCCCCAAAAGCTAACCTGAGCTCTGTTTCAATCAAAACCCTTACATATGTCACCGGACAATCACCTTCTTTCAACCCCACAATGACCTGTGTGATGAGAGTGAAGAATGAAAACTTTGGTAGCTTCAAACTCGAGAACAGCTTTAAGGTCATTGTTTTGTACGGAAATGTGACCGTTGGTGACATGAAAATCGATAGGAGGAGTGTTAGGGGTAGAAAGACAGAGCATGTGAATGTTACTGTGCAAGTGAGGTCTAGTAGGGAATTATTGGGTGATGAGAGTTTTAGGAGTGATATGAATTCTGGGTTGTTGAACCTGATAAGCTATGCCAAGTTGAGAGGTGAAGTGCATGTGATGAATTTCATCAAGAGCCCGTAGAACTGTGGAAATGAATTGCAGTATGAGTCTTGATTTCACGAACAGAGCAATTCAGGATTTGCTGTGCATGTGATTTTTTAAATTTTTATTGGAAATTCATATATTGAGTTGCTTGTAATATTGATTTTTGTATGAAATAGTGAGATTATTTACGTTAATTCCAGTATATTCATTTCTAGTAGAGAACTTATATATGCAATATGACTATACAGGTACATACATATATTCTTAGTTTTTTTTGGTCATTTCGCCATCAAGACAGTTGAAGTTCAATAATGTTTCCACACCTAAATCTTCAAGTCCTAATAACTTCTATATATATAGAAATTGTCAACTTTCAAAAATCATGTGGCGTCACTTAATTGAAAAAAAAAGAAAAGAAAAAAAAAAAAAAGAAAAAAAAAATGAAGAAAGTGAATTAAGGAGAAATCAGAGCAAACTGTAACGAGTGGACGCTTACTCATTTACTAAAAAACTCAAGTTGTTGGGTAGTGCTGTATATCCATTTATTTATACCCGTGTCACTTCCCATTCGAATTCGATGTGGGACAAGTCTCTACTTATAACAACAGCCTTGTACATCAATGTACACGCTTTAATTTCACTTTTAATACTCATAGATTCCAACTCTGTTTAATTCATTAAAGTTTATTATTTATTTATACATATTGTTGATGGTAATTCTTTATAGGATAAGGAGATTATTCCATGTAAGTCGAGAATGGTGAGATTAGTATCCAAGTGGGAATCCAAGTAACACAAAGGATTCTATTGAGTTAGATATTAAGTGAGGTAAGGCAGTAATTGATACCCAAATAACTCGAGCTCGGTAGTAATAATTGGTTGTTAAAGTTTTCAAATCTGCCTTAAAGGCTGATTAATGCTCCTATTTATAATGTCCATCCCTCTGGTCAATGTCCGCTAGTCACAGGGGCGAGCTCTCTCTTGCCTGTGGGTTTGAGGACCTCTCCCTTTGACGGATAAGACATTTGCAGGTGGCCTGAGGTGCTTTGGCCCCCGGTCCGAAGGGGTAATGGCACTCTATCTTTAATGCAGGTCCTGTCAAATGTCTTTCCCACATTTAATACACTCCTTTGTTATACTCAAAGCTCGACTTTGGGTATCGAATATCCTCTCCCCCATGCATTGGCCCCGAATTGAGGCGATTTCTTGGATCCTAGCCACCTGTCCGCATTTCCTCAAACTCTAGAAACTGGAGACGAGGAAAGGAGCCCCCTCGGGGTTCTACCTTCTTGGTCCCGCGAGGCTCCATCCCGGCCCTATACCTCGAGGCCTCTACAGTCTAGGGGGCTCGAGGTGAGGGCCCAAAATGTCCGTGGTTTCATTTGCAGGAAGGAATCTTGAAGGGGATAAAACAGAAGGGACCCATCAGACTGGAGAGGAGTATCTCCACAGAGGAGCGAAGAGTGGCGACCCTTTCCTCGTTCAGTAAATTCAGTCATAGGACTAGTAACTCGAGGTTACCTGGTCCTTTCAGAGACATGCCAGATAGATACTGGCTAGATGTGTCCTTTTCTCAGAAATAATGCCATGCGAAGTGTCATGGCACCTCTATCAACACATATTAATTACATTTGTTAGAATATTTCATAGGAATTGATATATGTTCGTTCAGGACTTGTTTTATGTGTTCTTTTCCATATATGCACATCAATTAATCTCAATTAAAAATATATATATATATCTATCCTTGTCTTTAATCAATAGTTCGTGGTCCTATGAAGTTATGAGGACCCACTTGCGGACCTGTGTGATGATGATGAGCCATCTCAATCAAATAATAGAAGGACTAATTTTCATATAATAACAATTGTAAAATTAAAATAGTCAATTAATTAATGTTTAATTATCTTTGGATCATACATATTGTACGACCAACTATTTCCCACCTATCCTCCAATCAACTTGACTACTACTTGTTTCAAAAGTAAGAGGAAAGTAAATGATGAGTAGTAAATTAGTAATGCTCATAATTCAGATGATGCTATCTCATTAATTTCTACTAGTAACTTCCCTTCACTATTAATTAGGCCAGGGTTAGTTTTTCACTTTAAAATGTAATTTGTCTAAATGATAAGTTTGCCAATATGTAATAAGTACCAACTCCGGTTTAGAAGGGGTGATCTTATCTGTATAAGCATTCACATCGAATAAAACGGAGTTGAAAAAAAATTAATTGGCAAGAAACACACCCACATTGTTTTTAAGATGACTTAAATCCTTAACCTTTTACTTTAGATTATGAAGAAGTACCACTAGAATACAGCATTTTTTTATAAATACATATATATATATATATATATATATATATTGACCCAATGTTAGGGCTGCAAGTTGGGCTGGGTTGGTCCCAATCCAACCTCAACCCGAAATCGGGTTAGGTTGAACCAACCCGAATTGTACCCAACATGGGTTATGGTCATAACCCGGCCCACATATTTTGGGTCAGTCAGTTCGGGTTTCATGGCCTGAGTTTTTTTTTTTTTTTGTGGGAAAATTTCATATATATTTATGAATATATATATATATATATATATATTTGATTATATATATATATGATTATATTATTAATATTTTTAGGGCAAATCATTTTAGCCTTCCCAATCACCTCCATCTCTATTCTCGTTCTCGACTCTGAACTTGCCCTCCATCTCTCTCTATAACTACAAACTATACATTACAAAATCTATAAGAATTAGAAGTTCAAAACATATATATTTTAGTTTATCCATCTGTCTACAAGAATCAAAAGTTCAAAACCCATATTAGCATATCATTTCAGATTGTTCGAAAAATCAAAACCCATATCATTCAGTTTCCATCGCCCGCTGTTCCAGTTCCAGTTCCCGTTCGCCGTTTGCAAGCTTCAGCCACTGTTTCTCAACTCTCAAGCTTGCCCACCTCTCTGTATGCAACTACTAGCTTGTATGTATGGGTTTTGTTTTTTCTAAATCAATTAATCAAGTTCTTGTTTTGCAAACTAAATCCTATTTGGTGAAATTTTAATGGAAGTGATGACGGCGGTGGAGGTAAGGGTGCACACGGTTCGGTTCCAATCAGAACCGGAACCGGAACTGCATAGATTAGAATTGAATCGGAACCGAACCGTAGAACCGGTTCAGTTCCATGAGAACCGTTAACCATAAGTTTAGAGACAACGGCTGAAGCTTGCGAACTCGAACCGGAACAGTTGGGGATGGAAACTGAAAGATATGGGTTTTAATTTTTTGAACAATCTGAAATGATATGCCGAATTGTCGATATGGGTTTTGAACTTTTGATTCTTGCAGATAGATCTGAAATATATGGGTTTTGAACTTCTAATTCTTGTAGATTTTGTAGTTTATAGTTACAGAGAGAGGACAAGTTTAGCAGTTGCAAAGAGAGAGAAGGGCAAGCTTAAGAGTTGAGAGACAGCGGCTGAAGCTTGCGAACCCGTACTGGAACAGTGGGCGATGGAAACTGAAAGATATGGGCTTTGATTTTTTAAACAATCTGAAATGATATGCTGATATGGGTTTTGAACTTTTGAGTTTTGATTCTTGCAGATAGATCTAAAATATATGGGTTTTGAACTTCCGATTCTTTGAGATGAGAGCGATAACTGATGAGGAACCCTTGAGATGCGGGGGGCGATGAGAAGCTTTGAGTGTAACGACCCTAGCTGATGCCAAAATTTAAAAAAAATTCGGCATAACCTCCCCTAAAAATGGGCCTTCAACAACCTGTCCCAAAACACAAAACACATAATATCATCCAGCATCCCATTCATCCGTTCATTATACTTCAACATAGTTCCTCTCATGGTGGAACATCCACACAACAATTAATCTAACTTATTATAATTACAGTCCCAAAATACCTGGTTAAGATCTAAAGTCCCTGTCTTACAACGTTACATGATACAATTGCATGGAAACATATACCATAATTTCATTAGTTTCATTTACATCAAACAAAAGATAAGTTCATTCTTAAGTTACAAGGCCATGAATACTAACTTAGTTACATCCCCACAACTATGAATATACATAAAACGGTCAAAATACAAAATAACAAACAACCTTCTAACAACTTTCAAGCTTGAGGTGGATTGTCATCCACCGGTTCATTTCCAAGACCTGAAAAAAATAATATAAATAGTTGGGTGAGCAAATATGCTCAGTAGGTGACGCTTAAGACACTTTTCTTGTGTCCCTGTGAATCCATACAAAGAATAGGCCAATAGGAAATGAGGATCATACAATGTCGGGAAATAATACAACATTCCAACTAAACTCAAGTACAACCCACACGATGCCATGAAATGCAAATGCATGCCAATGTCACTCCCCATTTTCTGTTCTCAAACATCACTTTCAAATTGTTAATATAACCCACCCTTTGGTGACCCCGCAACGACACGAGAGGAGCATTGGCTAGTATCCCTGACCCTTGGTACCCCCGCGGCGTCATTATGGGGCCCAGCTAGCTCAACCACGCTAGGGTGACTCCCTAGTCCCCTCTAGGCTATATTAACACTCCGGCCCTTTAGTACCCCTGCAGCGACCGGGTTTTTCAAAACCGTTTCATCAAATCATTTTTTCCAAAATCTCATTTTTCATTTCAAACTCATTCTTCCCGTTTCATGCCCAATGTAAGTGCATGAGTGCATCAATACCATGAATTTAATCATCATTTCACATTCAACTCTATTTAAGTAAGCAAGACATAATTTTGTAAGAATTTCTCAAGGGATTATAACGTGCTCTTGTACAACAATGCATCTAGCACAACGAACATATATAAATCATCACATAAGCAAGAATTTTCACATAAAACATTTAAAACAAGTTCTCACATAACCACATACATATGCTATAATTTCTTTAAACTACAACTAGCATAAGTAAACATGTCTAGCATCAAATTAGAAGATGTAATTCACATAGGAGCAAGAAACTTGTGGATTAAGAGCCCCTACCTCAAATTTGCACAAAACCCTTAAAAGTAGGTCTTGAATTCGAAATCCAAAGGGTGCACAAAAACTGAAATTGATGGTATGGATGCGTAGAGCTCGTCGTGGGCTTCGTTTTGCCTCAAATGGCACTTAAAAATACTAAGAGATGAGGGAGCAATCAAGCCTTGAAGATTGAAA